ATATATACATAAACACACACAGTATATATAATTTTTTATTTTTTCCAGAATTTTCAGGAAAGTCCACTTTCATCTCTGATTGTTGAATGCCTGCAGTGTGTGCTTCATTTTTAGGATGCCAGGAAGACATTATTTGCTGTTTATTTTGTTTTCAGGCAGTCAATCATACTTGAAACAGGATGCTCATGAATCAGGAGACTCGGACACAGAGTTACCATTTGATGATGATGATAATATAGCACCAGTTCTACAGGTTAGTATTGTATTTTTATCCTAAATGCTGTTGTTTTTCCAATAATAACACATAATTTGGCATACTTGGTTTTCATTGGAAAGGGATAATATGCAACACTGCACCACTTTCGTCAGAGCTCTTGATAAATACCATGTTCTGCTTTCCCCCTTCTAATGAAACATCTATTTTACAGTTTGACTATGCAGCTCTTGCTGACAAGCTCTTAGAGGTGTCAATTCGAAGTAGCACACCCAGCCACAATAGAGAGAGGCTCTACAAAATCATCAAAGTGTAAGTATTGTAGCCCCTCAGACAGATTTGAAAGTATCATACTGTATCTATTGTTGTGGTCCGTGGGATTTAAATAAGGCACAAAAAAAGCCAAACCTTCCTGTCCTTATGTGGAAAAAGTAATTGCCCCTTGAAGCTAGTAATGGGTTGTGCTGCCCTTGGCGGCAATAAGTGAAATCAAGCATTTGCGATAATTTGTGATCAGTCTTTGACATCGCTATGGAGGAATTTTGGCCCACTTTGGCAGAATTAATTCAACTACGCCACATTAGAGAGTTTCTCTTTTGAGGTCACGCCACAACATCTCTATTGGATTCAAATCCGGACTTTGACTTGGCCACTCCAAAACCGTACTTTTTTTTCTTTTGGTTTTTTTGAGCCATTCAGAGACGGACTTGCTGATGTGTTACGGATCATTGTCTTTCTGCATGATCCAAAAGTGCTTGAGTTTGAGGACGCAAACTGATGGTCGGGCATTGTACTTCAGGATTTTCTAGTAGACAGCGGAATTCATTGTCCCATCAATCACAGCAAGTTGTCCTTGTCCTGAGATAGAAAAGCAGCCCCAGACCATCACACTGGCACCACTATGTTTTATTGTTCACATAATGTTCTTTTTATCAAATGCTGTCACTGTTACGCCAAATGTAACGGGCCACACAAATTAAAATTTTGACTCAGTCTACTGAATGTTTGTCCAAAAGTCTTGAGGATCATCTTGATGTCTTTTGGCAAATGTGAGATGAGCTTTTGTGTTCTTTTTGGACAGCAGTGGTTTTCGCCTGGGAACTCTCCAGTGGATGCCATTTTTGGCCAGGTTCTTATGGTGTAGTCGTGAACACTGATCTGAGCTGTGGCTAGTGAGACCTGGAGTTTTTTGGATGTTGCACTAGGTTCTTTTGTGACCTGCTGGATGAGGCGTCGTCGTAGTTTTGGAGTCATTTTAGCTGGTCGACCTCTCCTGGGAATGTTTACCAATGTTCCCAGTTTTCTCTATTGTGTATATTGGCTCTGACAGTTCGCTGGTGCACCAGAGTCTTGGAAATGGCTTTGTAACCTTTTCCAGACTGAGATTTCAAAAACATTTTTTTCGAATTTCTCCTTAAATTTCTTTGGATCATGGCATGAGGTTTTTCTTGATCTTGTAGCCTACTTCACTTTGTCCAACAAATTCTATTTATATGATTTCTTGCTTCAGCAAATGTGGTGTTAATCAGGTTTGGGTCTGGCCTGTGAAATTGAACTTGGCTTTCTCAAAACTCAAAACTTTTTCAAAAGCCAGTTTGTGATTTAACAAAGGGGTGGAAATTACTTTTTCACATCGAGCCAGATAGGTTTGAAAACTTTTCCCCCCCCTTGGTCAATGAAATCAATTTAGAAACTGTATTTTACATTTCCTTGGGTTGTCTCTGTGTGATATTAAAATTAGTTTCTTGTTCTGAAATCTTTGTTTGTGTGATAAAGATGCATTAAAACAGAAATCAGGAATGGGGCAAATATTTTTTCACACCACTGTACATCATAGGTGATAATGGTCCGAAGCGCAATAATTGGGTTAGCATGACCAGTGGTGTTGCACTCCTTTTGTTAAATCTGGTCTGCTTGTAAGATCGGCCAGGTTCACAGGGTCAAATTTTAACGTTAGCCGGTTAGCCCGTTTCAACCATCACCCCCTGGGTTTAAACTCACGTCATTGGCTCACAGGACATCCCTGTTGTCCATATAGAACAGATTTCACAACTTCTGGTAGCTGTCGAAGGAGACACTGAATCAAGGATGAGATTTTTCCGCGTTTTGGCGGAATTCCGCTTTTTTTCCAGTCAAAATGGACCTAATTTATATTGTTCCAAATCCGTAAAAAAAATTCTGGGGGGGGTCCGGACTTGTCTTCGGCAGATTCGAGCTCGTAATGTTTACAAGTAACGTTTGCAAGCATCCATTTTGAATCCCGTTTTTTATCGCGAAGCGTTAGTTTGTCGTTACTTCCTATATGGGCTAAAACCATTACTTGTTGTGATTGGTCGCTATATCGGAAAATGCAAATCACAACCAATCCGTGTTCGCCTTCCGAAACCCCTTTCTCGCGAATGCCGAATGTTATCGAGACTCGCGGCGAAGCTAAAGTGCATCAAATAGATGCGGATCAAAAAAACATGTTTCGATGGGACTGGTTGGATAGAGAGCTGACGGTGTCCCCAGTAGGAAACAGTAAAGAGGAACCATTGTGCTTTCGTCGGATTTCGTGAAAAAGCTCGATGTCGCCGGTAAAGCTCTGTGTACAGTGTGTGACGATGTCATTCTATACGGATCGAGAGGATGGAAAGCTTTACAGAGTCACGCAACCTCGGTGAAACACCGAAAACAGACATTTCTACTGAAAAGTAACTACTCGATCTCAAGCGTTTTTTGACAGCCTGGAGCATGTGTAAAAACAAGAGGAGTTGGCTAAAAAGAGAGTGGAAAAAGACGGAGAGGACCAATAAGCTTTTAGCGCTTGCTAAAAAGCTTAAAATGAAGAGAAAATAAAGTATTCTACCTCATGAAACTGTATATTGTTGTATATACTGTAAATAGACTTTATATAATAAAATACATTCAAAACCCATATATAGTAAACAGTGTGGGACTTCACTATCACTGTATGAGGTAAGAATCAACAGCGTTTTATCACATTTACACAACACTTTATGAATACAAGTAATGAACAAATCTGAAATATGGCAGGGAATGTGTTTCCTTTTTTTGTTTTGATTTTGAGCAGCAAATTTGAAGTTACATATTGGTGCTCACCAGGAATGCATAAGCAAATTTGCACTAATTTTCACTTGAAAGAATAGTGAAAAATCTTGGGATTTTTTTCTGTTAAAGTTTCAAATAGTGTGTAAATTGAATCCACTTCATCTTCAGCATGTTAATTGTCACTTTAGTTAGTGGCCCCGCCCCCGTCCCGGCCCCGCCCCTTTCCGCTTTTTTCATCACTCGCCACTCTCATTCATCCCTGCTGAATGGAAACAAATTGTGAATGCACAAAAGAGCAATATCCAAGCCAAAAACAATTCTCCCAAAAAATGCTCTCTTCTATGGATATGGTCTCCTAAAGCAGGACCAAGGACCACTTCGGTAGCCCACGGATGTTTATTGCTATTCTGAAAAAAAATTAAAATAGTGCCACCTGCATTTGAGCTGCATTTAACCTAAAGTACGTTTGTTGATTTTTTTTTTTTTAACATTTGGTTGGTGTAAATTTGTAAACAATATTTAAAAATGCTATTTCAGTACTGTATAGCTCAAAAATGAGTACTGTAGTGCATGACCAAACCATCTGGGTTGCTGAGACAAGCTAGCTGGCGCAACGACAATGAGAATATTTACCCCAAAAATAATTTGAGCAAATTTTTTATTTCAGTTGAGTGTATGAAACTGGTAGCCCTTTCCATTCACAGTAACCAAGAAGTAGCTTTGTTTCAAAAATGTTGCTGATGCCTGTTTTAATGTGAGATTGATGGAAATGATCCCTATATACAAAATTTCAGTGTATCAGAGAGTTGTTCAGCAGATTGGGAAAAGAGGGATTTTACGCCAGTCGAATGTAATTTATGATGTGCATTATTAGCCCACTTGTCTTTCAACACACTTTCTCTCTCTTTAATGGCAGGCTGCAGGATCTCAGTGAAGGTATTGCTATTTTTAAATTGCCTGATACCACACAATGTCTTTCTTGTTTATTTGTGTTATGTGACTCATCCTCTGTCTTTTTTTTTTTTTTTTTGGTTAGGTCTATTTCCTCAAGATGGCTATCCAGAGGAAGTCTCTACAGATGAGGATGATGAAATGTTTGCCAGCAGAAAGAGGATGAAGCGTGGAAAGACTGCAAAGGAAACAGCTAAGAATCGTAAAGGACCTCTTTCTCACTACAAAATGTGCATCTTTAAAAATAATCAAGATGCGTAGAAAAGGGAGTCTTTCTAGACTAATCTGCACAGTATGTGTCAGAGGCAATATAGAGCAATAAGATGGCTCCTCATGCAGTAATAAGCAAATAAACGTCCCTTAATTTTGTGTGTGCGTGTGTGCATGTTAGGCCTGCAAGATTAGTTGATTCATCATGATGACATCGACGACCAAAAGCATCGACAAGTAATTTATGTCATCGACTAGTCGACGCACATGCGCAGTTGCGTTTACTTCTACCAGATGGAATGAACAACTGTAGTATGCTAATGCTATCATGGCTATCCGTCATCAGACATTGAAAGTTCGGGAACATTTCAACGAAGACGTCAAGAGCGAAGAATGTGCAAAGTAGACTTTGCCTTTCATAGCAGTGTACTGGCAATGCGTGAGCATTTGAGACGGAAGCACGTTTTGTCCGATTCTATTTCTGACGAGGGACAGTCGTCTTGGACTCTGTAAAATACTTGTCTGTTTAGCTTAGGTGCTAACATTAATATCAACGTGAGTGATATTTATAGCTGTAGAGTAGGAATGTAAACTTTAATAAAAGACCAACAATGACATTTTCAGCACGTATCACACTGTGTGTGATTCCAACATTGTGACAGCGATGTTATAACTGAATAGGAAATGTGGTGACACTGATTTCTTTGAACACTACATCATCAGGGGTGTTCACACGGCAACATTTACTCCGGTGTAGCACCGGGGCTGCCCCCATAGACCGTTCACACGTACAAAGTTATCCTGTTGTTGCCCCTGAAAACAGCTTAAACCGGAGCAAATTTAACCCTGCTCAGGAGGTGGTTTAAAAATTTACTCCTGAGTAAATGCTAGTTTGCGGGTCAGCACTGATATAATATGGGACGTGTGAACGCCACAGGACTCGCTACGCGTAAGAAGAGTTGATTACATACGGGTATTGCATAACTTGCATCCTGGGTATTTTGCACTTCTTTCCTTTCTCTCTAATCCTTTTACGGTGTCTGATAGACCACAGCGTTGATTTGTCTGGAGAAGCATAAACCATGGTTTTTCGATATATGTCCCAAACAAGGTGGGGAAAAGGAAGTACACTTTACGCATGCGCATGTTTTATATCGGATTGCACGGCCGCAGAAACTGCTGTGTGAACGCAAGTGGGGCTGCACCGGGGTTAACACGCTTCTCTTTAGTAAGCAGCTTTATACGTGTGAACGCTCCACAAAATTTATACCGGTGTAAGATATATCGCAACAAAATACATCGGTGCTATAGTGTTCAAAGAAGTCCAGATGTACTTTAGAGAGGCTCCAGTCTCTCATAAGGATTATACTTTTAAATGGTGGCATGAAAATGAGAAACATTTCCCCACACTATTAAGGGTAGCAAAATCTTTTCTGTGCAACCCTTCAACCTCCGCCCCTTCGGACCGGATCTTCACTGTTGCAGGGCACATCTGCTCTCAAAAGCGAGCAAGCGTTTCGCAGAGCATAGAAATGCTAACTTTCCCGACAATGAACAACAGAGTTCTGTCGATTATGATGAGAGATGGAATGTAGTATAAATTGTGTGCACCGAGCACAAAATACCCAGCACTACTGTCTTTACTGTCTTAGAGTTGTCATCATTTATTTAAAATCACTCTTTGTGTTGTTTCTCCTTCAGGAAAGAAAAAAATGCAACTCAAGCAAGATGATGACTCCGATAATGATGATATGAAGCCAACAGATCTTACTAACAAAGATATCGCCAAGCCATGGAAAAAAAAGAAGGTGTCTCATGATGGCTGTTTAGGTGCTAATTTAAATGCCAGAATATCGAATGGGGAGGTCACTGAGGCTCCCAATCAAAGCAAGATTGTGCTGAGTGAGTCTGAAGATATGGCCAAAAAAGAATCGTCTGTTTCTGCCTCAGATAAAGCCAGCAACCTCAATTCTTGCACAACCAACAAAAAATCAAAAAAGAAAAAAAAGAGGCCAACATCGCAGTGTAAAGAAAAATTAGAGAATAATGAGACGACGCAGGAGGCCGGCACAACTGCAGTGATCGGCGAGCATGAGAGCCCCTTAAAGAACAGTGTTAAGCTTGAGTCACAAGCTGGCAGCATAGCGCTTCCACCTCCCTGCGAGATCACATCAAATGAAACTGAGCTCCAGGCCTCAAATACCGCCAAGACAAAAAAGAAAGGTCTGAAGGCTCAAAAGGTCAAAGCATTTGCAGTTTGTTCACCGAAAATCCCGTTAGATTCTTTGTCTATACCTTGTGATAATTCTGCTCATGTTGGCACACCTCTCCAACCTCAGGGTTTAACTGACGCCACCGCCGTTGATGAGTGCAAGAGGAAAAATAATAAAACACAGAACGTACTGTTTGCAAATCCAAGTACGAACGTTGAAAATGAATTTGCATCTGACAATCAAATGGGAACTCCATTGAAGAAGAAAAACAAACGAAAATATGCAAAGGTGAAAGAGGTTAGCAGCTCAGAAAAGGAGCCCGAGGTGGGCGATGAGGCATCCGATTCCTTGGGGAAGCCAAATAAGAAGAAAAGAAAGATCCCCGTGGTGTTTGAGTTTGAAGCGGATGAGTTTGAGCCTGCCACACCACCCAATGACACTGCAGACATAGCACTGGATGTCAAGAAGTCAAAAGTGAGTATGAAATGAGGGCATGCGTTTTCAGATTCATCTGTGAACTCGGTTAAATCACTTTGCCATGGATATTTCACAATGCTTCTCCACTTCAGGCATTTCATGGTTCAGCTACACCAAAAGCCAAGCCAAAGACATTGTCAAGTGACTTGGTCACATTTCAGCGAAATGTCAAAGTTCCAACACCGCTCTTCTTCAGGACTAAGGGAAAATGCACAACTCAAGTCTTTGGCAAGAAGGTATTTAGATGTGTATAAAAAAATGACATTACATTCTTTATGTTGATTCTGTTTTTCCCTCCACAGATGGGTCAAACTCCCACATCAGACAGCAAGAAGGTGACATTCCATCTGAAGAATAATAAAACAGCTGGTAAGACAATGTTCAATGTCAATATGTTTAGGTATATTTTGTGGCCCCGGCACGATGCCAAATTTTGGAATACACTCCACTTGACTCTTTACTTTGACACAATAAAAACAAAAACAAATCTTCATTTTTTTCAGTTCTTCACTAAAAAAGCAAAGTATTTGGCAAAATAAGGGATGGTCACTCGAGTTTTGAGCTGAACATTTGACGATGCTTTCTTTGGTGTATTTACCCTGTAGGATTCTTTCCTGACCCCCCAGCACCAATAAAAGAAAATCTGCCCTAGTAATTGCTGTATTTGTATATTACCTTGTAAAGCAAAGTACAGTGGAACCTCATTAGGAATGACCCTTTTTTATGAACTTTCATCTTAGCATAAAATATTTTGAGGAAATATGCCTCTAGTTATGCACCTTCCGTTATGCAATTTGTCTCAGCATGGATGAGCGGGTAGATCTGTGTTGTGATTCTCGCGCTCTTTAATAGTCATTGGCTGTGCACGTAACTCATTGTGATAATTGTGCGGTTTTGTTTTTTGTTTTGTTTTGTTATTTTACTTTTAATTTGTCTTTAGAATGATTTAAAGGTTACAGTTGTCTGCAAAAGCCACACAGAACTCAATGTCATCAACCGACTACAGGCTGGACACATTAAAAAGACATAGGGTGATTTCCATTCACAAAGCAGGAGAAGGGAAGAAGTATATTGAAGATGGTAGCACCTCAAAAGCCTGAACTAATAGTTATAAAACTAAATCGTTTTTTTCTTTTTTCTTTTTTTTAAACGGTGGACACTACAGCATGCTATTGCTGCACAGGTGGACATTGACCACAGAGCGCTTGAAATAATTTGAGTGTCTCAAACAAAAGTGACCCCAGGACACAAGCTATGAGTCCATTATTCTCAGATGCAAATTGTAATAAATGAATGTTTTAACATGATCATTGTAATAAATGAATGTTTTAACATGATCATAGTCAGTCTTATTGGAAATCTTAACTTTTAAAGTATGTTTCTTGTAAAGGAACGTGAGTCCGTTGAATTAACAGAATCCACGCACGTCATGGCACATGGTCAGGATGATACCACCTATGCCTTTGTATGAGCCAAGAAAAAAACGTGTTTCTTATTGTCATGTTGCAGAGTTCAAGAAGAATGATCGCAGCCTGTTACTAAGTCCAGAGGGGTCGTCTAAGGTGCCCTTTGACCCACAACAAAAACCCAAATCTGGGGTTTTAAAGTCTTCTCCCATGGCCCTCTCCACCAACATCAAGACTCCCAATGCCAGCAGTAAGAGGGCTTTCAGTACTCCAAAAAGCACGCCGAAAAGACGACCTGTTGCATCGGACTTTTTTTGAAACCCTAAACTTGGAATACTGTTGATACAAATGTAAACTTATTTTATTTTTGTTTCTTCAACATCAAATTGTAACTGCAGTTTTCTCACATATCCCCCGGTCTAATTATGGTGAGAGCATTTTGTGATGTTATAAAAAAGTTTTGAATGAAAACTTGGCTGGGCGGCCCGGTGGTCCAGTGGTTCGCGCACCGACCTCACAATGCAGAGGTACTGGGTTCCGGCCTCCCTGTGTGGAGTTTGCATGTTCTCCCCGGGCCTGCGTGGGTTTTCTCCGGGTACTCCGGTTTCCTCCCACATTCCAAAAACATGCATGGCAGGCTGATTGAACACTCTAAATTGTTCCTAGGTGTGAGTGTGAGCGCGGATGGTTGTTCGTCTCTGTGTGCCCTGCAATTGGCTGGTGACCGTTTCAGGATGTCCCCCGCCTACTGCCCGAAGACACCTGGGATGCGCTCCAGCACCCCCCGCGACCCTTGTGAGGATAAAGCGGATCGGAAAATGAATGAATGAAATGGACCATGTTGATTTGACATGGCTAAGTTGGTATCAAGTCAATTGAGGCTTAAGTTTATGGGTTTTTACTTTAGATTTTACAAATAAATGCAAATGAAACAAAATATTTTTGTGTCCGGTTTTAAGTTTCAAGTTTCTTCATGGAGTTATGGCAGCAGTCGTTGAATTTAATTATGGTTATATTTACTATTGTCACTGTGTTCAAATCCAATTGAGCCCGTTGATAAAGTAAATTGTTAAGTATTAAATGCTCTTTTTTTTTTGGTGCAAAATTTCTTAAAGCTATTAATTGTTGCTTCTATCACACCTTGATGTATTTCGAATACATTGTGGTGATATGAATACAAATGTGTAACTCATTTTAAAGTATTGCATACCCGACCCGCCCCCCCAGCAAGAAGGAAACGATTCGCGCTCACCCGCCACTATACTGTAAATATTATTTGTCGATAAAATTATTGTAAGTATACCTCCTTTGTATCCTTATTCAGATTAAAAAAAAACATTGACACTACATGCACAACCATGCCATGAAGAAACGTTGAACTTGTCACGTCGCTACTTGTAACTTGCCAAAACTGCCGGCGGGTAGCTGGATTGGTTTCCAGTGAGTGTTTGACTTCACCGAGTCTGCCTTTTACCAATTTTGAAAATGCATAGTATGATGGCATGACGCATCTGTCATATACTGTATTGATTTGTAAATGCAGATAACAGGAAAATGAGGACGCTGCAGGACACTGTCGTTTTGTTTCTTCCGCTGCTCCCTGGCTCCGCGCACTCATTGTACATCAAGCAAGCGGATACACCTGAGCTAAAATTTTGAGCGACGTCGCAAAATCATTTTTTGGCTCAATTCTTATGACATCATGGTAGATACATGTATTGCTAGCTAATTCTGTCTTTACTTTTTGCTTTCTTTAACTGTGCACATGAGATTTAGAGTATTCTCTATAGGCATAGACTGCAATGTCGGTGTATACCCGCAAGAGGACGCTATGACCAAATATTTGCGGTCGGGTCAACACGTTTCGAAGTGAATAGCGGGGCACATGAAGACAGACAGTCCACTTTTTGTACTGTACTGCACTTTAATGAATCGACATGCATGGAAACGGGGTAACCAGTCAAAAAACACCCCCCTGTACACTGCATACTCTGAAGAGAATTTAAGCATAAAAATTGGACTATGTTTTATTTCTAAGGCAAAGCTAATACTGTAGTCCAAACACACCAAAGTAAAACTAGTCAAAATATAATAAGGACACTTAACAAAACCAATATCTATCGGGACAAAAGCGACTAAGAGGAAGCACATGGGGTCTAGAAATAAACTTGGGCATGAATAGCGAACAAGGGAAATCCAACAAAGCGTAGAAGTCAGGGTCATTAAAACACAGGAACTTGGTCAGGAGACGAGAAACAGGTGCACCGCTGAAGGATCACACACAACACTCCAGCTGGTGCTAAAAAACAAACAAAAACGAAGCAGAGCAGAACATGACATCGCGTCCATGGGAGAATTCCTTGCCACAACTACCGGTATGTTCAAAAAGCAGAAATACAAATACTGAATAACTGGTATAAAGGGGCTATTTGCAAGTTATTTGTTCGGCCAGACTGTTGTGAAACGAATGGGACGAGTTGCAAGACTCCGTGAAATAAATAATGACCCAGCAGAAAATGCATTTGGGAAATGGGTCTGTTGAATTGTGAGCCTGTAACGGCGATTTAAAAATGAATGCTGATTCAGAATTTTCGAATTTTAGTGAGAATTAATCATAGCGTACTGTCAGGTGTCTATAAGATTGTTCTAAGTAGGAATGTTAGAATGGCAAATCATGTGACTGTAGACATGTATACGTTACGTATGTGGAGGGTGCACAGCAACATGTGCAGCGTGCTCCTTGAAAGTGACACCGGTGTTCGTACCCGTATGTCTGTCGTTCCTTCGCTGTTCACAGAGGCAAGCAATCCGTCAGCCCGTCACTGACAAACACCCGTTTTGCTGACAAATGAAACTTTAAATAATGATTGACTAAGCACTGACGGAAGTGGGTTTTCATCCATTGATGTTAGCATCACTAACTGGTCAAGTACCGACGCATCTCTCAGTCTGTCACTGACGGATGCCCGTTTCGCTGATGGAAACAACGTCGCCTTTCTTGCATTAGTTTGTTTGTTTCAGTGGACTACGTTGACTATACAGGATATATATGGAACCGCTTTGCACTTCCTGTGCAGAAGGTGGCAGTATGTACCAAAGTGCTGTATTCCGGCAATAAAATGAGAGCAGGAGGAGGAGCAAGAACAGAAGCAGCAGCTGCAGTTATTGTATTCAAAGGTATTATGTGGGCAGTGCTAGAAGTACACATAGGACAGAAGAGGCGGAAGATAGAGAGAGAGAAAGTGAAAATAGAACATGTTTTAGAATAATATGTGGAGTATATAATAAGGCAAGAAGACAACAACTAATTAATGAGCTAAGCGACAAGTCCTATTTTCTCTTCTATGGTTTTCCTCACATACTTAAGGAATTCATGATTAGATGTTCCATTTCACGGCAGCCCGGTGGGCGACCGGTTAGCGCGTTGGCCTCACAGTTCAGAGGTGTAGGGTTCGATTCCAGCTCTGGCCTTCCTGTGTAGAGTTTGCATGTTCTCCCCATGCCTGCGTGGGTTTTCTCCGGGTACTCTGGTTTCCTCCCACATTCCAAAAACATGCATGGCAGGTTAATGGAACACTCTAAATTGTCCCGAGGTGTGAGTGTGAGCGTGGATGGTTGTTCGTCTCTGTGTGCCCTGCGATTGGTTGGCAACCGGTTCAGTGTGTCCCCCGCTTACTGTCCAAAGACAGCTGGGATCAGCTCCAGCACGCCTCACGACCCTTGTGAGAATAAGCAAATCAGAAAATGGATGGATGTTTCATTTCAACACAAAATTCCTCGTTTGCACACATTTGTCTACCGATTTGTTGTCCTCTCAACCTTTATCACCAACATCATCATCATCATCTCGCTGTGCGTGTATTTGTGTGTACGTGTGTGATCTGTTGTCAGTGAACCTTTCACACTAACAACAACAGAACCCTTTGGCTCGCTGGCCTAGTTTTGTGTGAGTGTGTGTCTTTGCATATGTGTGCGTGAACCCTAAGGCAGCTGTGGACCGGTCATGTGACCCCAATGTTTGCTTTTGAGCACAGAGACATAACTTGTGTGTTTTTCTGCGCTGTCAAAACACACACGTGTCACATGGCTGCACAGACACGCTCACTCGCTATGACAGCCTAGCCGCCATTTTACTGAGGCCTCTGGACCTTATGGTTTATACATTCATTTACTCTCAAATCCATTGGGAATCAAAACATTAGATAAGCACATCAATGGCTGTTGTTCAATTTTCGATGATGACAAAGAAGCCAGGCTAATGCAGCGACCTCCTAGCTGCCTGTCTGGCAGTGGGCATGGAGTTCATTGCCCAATTCTAGGTCCTTGCTCCTCTGTTTACATGCTTGCGCCTCCCACCAAAAATTCAATGATGGAGGGAGGTGATGACAAAGGAATGGGGTAACTTACTCGATGAACCAATAGGAACGATCACGTCAGTGCGGATGGTTGCAGCTGCATGCAGCTGTCAATATGCAGAAGTCCGCGCCTCAAACACCAAGATTATATCATATTGTCATGAAGTAGAGATTTGGACTATTCCTTATTTGAAGAAATAGAACTCTCGGAAGTGAATGCTAAAGTCCTGATAGCATGAGATTTTACATTGACTTTAGCATTGGCCCTGACAAAATTTTTGAAACAAGGTGTGTATTTAAATATCCGTGTAATTATTTTGGGGTTGTAATCATGACAGAGTCTTTTGTTGCTTTAATGCTTTGTGCAAACTGTTTACCAAGGCCAGTTAGGTCATGTAGAGAGAGTGTGGTGTTAATAACACCAAGGTGATGGGTTTGATCCCCCATACTGGCCATGATATTTTAAAAAGGTTAGTCACTCAAAAGCATTTCTTTTTGAAGGTCAGACACCTCGATCCCTTATTACAACAATGTTGCTCATTTGCATGAGGCAAAACCATTTCAAACACTATCTTATGTTGAAGCGTCACATTTTTTGCCATCTATTTTTTATTTATTTATTTATTGTGTCGTGGTAGGCTCATTTTTTCAAGCACAATTCATTTAAGGAATGATTGTGATGCGGCAATAAAACACATGAACGCAATTACGATAATGGATTCTTTTATAAGATAACGTGAATTATTTACAAGAAGATTACAATCAAGTGAGGAGAATGGGCATGTCATGTCAGAGTCTCACCCCTGACCCATATTAACACATAAAACCTTCATCGCTCATGCTTGGCGCTCATTGGTCCTGGAGGTTCGCTTGGGTACGCGCTCACGTGCACGCCCACGGACCGTGTTTCCAGGAGATTCACCCCCATGCGCGCACACACACGCTCGCGGCTATCGCGTTTGTAAGTTCCTTTCCGAGCAAGCGAGATCGCGCGCACGTCGTCAATCTGTGCCGGGTGTACCCGCCGGTGGAATGCGCGCCCCCGCGGACCTCGCCACCGCCCCTCCCCCCGCCTTCACTGCAGCTTGCATCCGGGCTGCTAATTTTGCTGCACAGCTCCGATGTTCGCGTCCAACATGTCAATTGTTTTTCATATTTGTTTCAGTTTTTTGATGGGCGAACTTTTTATTTTGCCATTTTTAACTAGGATGGAGCGCGCGCGCGTGTGCCTGGCCCGTGGTTTGTGACGGCCGCGCGTGGACGTGACAAGTTGAGCGTGTGTGCTCGGAACAAGTGCATCTTTCCAAATGGGACAACTATTGTGGATTATCCCGACAATTCTGAAGCATTTTGGTGTATTTTAAAGGAGCGAAAAATCCGTCCATTTGGGAGCTGTCTTCAACAGCCAGGCCTGCGGTTTCTTTCGATTGTTTTTATTTTAAAAAGAAAATGTTTTTAAAGCGTTGATTAGTCGGAATAAAAACGGAATATTTGCGCTGGTCGTCCATGTAGCGCAAGAAAAGGGCGCAGAGTGTTTGCGGCTCATCGGGCTTACATAAGCAGCAGCGTCATGTACGCAGGACGCAAGAGGAGAAAACCGGTCCAGAGAGCGTAAGTTATTTTTATTGTATTTACTTTTTCGAATAAGATACGTGATGTGAATGAAAATAAAACTAGTAGGAAAAATATTTTGCAAACAGAAAAAAACTATCAAATAGTTGCCAATATGCAATTTCATTTGCAAAATATGCATTTTTTAAATCGAAAAACCACGAACAATATAGCCTATGGTTTCAAATTTAGATTGAATGTAGTGTTTGTTTACAAATAAAACCAGCTTTGCAGTCAATGTTGTGCACCAGGCTGCTTTAATGCTTGAGGATTATATTGCAGGCCCTCTATTTCCGAGGCCGGATTTTGACCTTCAAAACAAACATGCGTGGTTAAAATTAATCCACACACAATTTTAAAACATTGTTGCACAAAAATGAAAACGAACAATGGACATTTAACTCTTTAGATTGCGGTTTTCAACCCCCTTAATTTTTTTTAATCGGGGGTGTTCTCAACGCCCTTTTGAAGATATCGTCTTTTAACTTGATAAAAAATATTTTTTTTCTTAACACTCTTAGACTGAAAGTAACTATTTAAATGGCTTGGATAATTTGTTTGTTTTTTTCCTCTCCATCATTTTCAATGAATGAATTTTAAAAACGGATCGATGGTGCACGTACAGATATACGCACATCTGACCACTGAAGCAACCAGCGAGATTTATTCGATAAGGATGCAGTCAATGTTGTGCACCAGGCTGCTTTAATGCTTGAGGATTATATTGCAGGCCCTCTATTTCCGAGGCCGGATTTTGACCTTCAAAACAAACATGCGTGGTTAAAATTAATCCACACACAATTTTAAAACATTGTTGCACAAAAATGAAAACGAACAATGGACATTTAACTCTTTAGATTGCGGTTTTCAACCCCCTTAATTTTTTTTAATCGGGGGTGTTCTCAACGCCCTTTTGAAGATATCGTCTTTTAACTTGATAAAAAATATTTTTTTTCTTAACACTCTTAGACTGAAAGTAACTATTTAAATGGCTTGGATAATTTGTTTGTTTTTTTCCTCTCCATCATTTTCAATGAATGAATTTTAAAAACGGATCGATGGTGCACGTACAGATATACGCACATCTGACCACTGAAGCAACCAGCGAGATTTATTCGATAAGGATATTTTTAAAGTGTAAATTCGTTACAAAAAAAAAAAAAAAGATTACGTACAACAACAGCATTCAAAGGGAGAATTGTTCATATTCGTGTATCCTGTAGTATTTACAACTGAATCGGTGAATGTTAAGATGCATCTTTTTTTTAGTATTATTTTTTTTGTTGGGGGAAACATTTTCAGTAATCCAATAAATGGCTTTCACTCGAGTGAGCATACATGTGACATGACCTGTCAGTTGAAAGCAAACAAAACAAGCATAAAGATGAGGGCCAGTAGGGCAGACCAAGTATGCCAACATCCATCAAAGATTCAGTCTAAAAACATCTCATGCTCGCTGATCAAACTGATTTTTGGGGGGAAAGGAAGAAAAAGCAAACGTAAAAGAATATGTGTTCATAAGCCCCTTGGAATCCCTCACTTAACACGAGAGCTGTATCAAACATTCACAAATATAATGCTCACTTTTGATTGACTCTGTCATAAATGTTTGGCGGATGCATGGGGGGTAAATTGAGGTCGGCTCCTACCATGCATTTGTAGTTCAATCCATGTGTTACAATTGTGTTCACTTGTATGTAGTGCATCATATTGACATCACTTTCTAATATTTTGGCAAGCTTTATTAATATTTTGTCACACAAAGCAAACCACAGACCAAACACAACTCTCAGTATGATGCTAATTCCAACCACAATCGCCCATTGTGGTCATTTTGTTCTAGTAAACCAACCAGTACTGTACCAGGAATTACTAGCTGTTAATTACCCAACAATATTTCTTCAAATTACAAACCCAAAACATACCATCAGGATATCTACTCAAAGTCAAACCAGTCATTTAGCATAAACGATAATTTAATGCACAGAACAAAACACACATACAGTAAATACATACAATCATTACACCATCAACAACAACAAAAAAGCAACTGTGCTTATATAATTAATAACAGCTTTGTCCTGTCTGGCAGGGTAAAACAGCCGCCCAATGAGGGGGCAAAGTCCAACCCGTCTAAGAGGCACCGAGATCGCCTCAATGGGGAGCTGGAGAGATTGGCTAGCCTCCTGCCATTTCCCGAGGAGGTCACGGCCAGCTTGGACAAACTGTCCATCCTGCGACTGAGTGTCAGCTACCTGCGAGCCAAGAACTTCTTCTCTGGTACGTCTACAATGTCTGTAGCTGAAATAATCGTGTTTGCTGCCTTGATGTATTGCTTTAGCTAGTGAAAATGAAAGCGCACGAGAACAGGAGAAGGGATTGGACAGCAGATGACAAAAGGAATTTAGGCCCAGTTTAGTTTACAGTACTGCAAATGGGTTGCACTGGTAAAGTGAACCAAGTCATCAAGAAGATGTTGTGCTTAGTAGCAACCACCAGGGGGCAGGTTTAATTCAGTCCGAGTTTGGATACTTCTTAAGGGTTTGTGAAAGCATGCCAAACGTTGTAAAGAAGATGGTAAGACCATGCGAGAGCATTTGCTCAGTTGTAAGTTGGCAGCAACCACCTGAGAAGTTATTCCGGCTCAACTGTTTCCTGAATGGGTTGCAAGAGAAATCCAAACAGAATGCGGACAAGAAGACGGCAAGAATGGTACAAGACTTTTAGCTACTTGGCAGCAACCATCCGAGAGCAAATGTCATTTCACGCCCCACAAGCTTGCTGCCTAAATGGGCTGCAATAGAAATCAAAACAGAACGGAAACAAAAAGATGGCGAAACTTGGGTTGTGAGTCCATCTGCTTCTTGGCAGCGACCAGTTGAGGGCAAAAGTCATCCAGGCCCAACTCGTTTGCTGCCGAAACTGATTGGCATAGAAATTGTGTGACATTCGTGCGGTCGTAACAACTATGGAGTTGCTGCAGTTTTTTCCCTCCAATTCTGCGAATCCAATGAGATAAAAACTAGTTTGTTTGATTTTCCTTTTGTTCTGGTGTTGGATGTGTTTGTTGGCCAACATCTTCCACATGATTGGAGTTGTTGTGATAACAAGCGCGAGCAGCCGCCGCCTTATTCCGCTGATTTCATTTTGGGGGTGGCGGTGTTGAAGTAGCCCTCAATATTTAATCTAGACAGCATGCCTACGCGCTGCCGTGACGTCAAGCGATTTGAGAGAGAGGATGAAGAGAAACCATTAAATGTTGGCGAGTGTGTCGGCGTCGCACGCAACCGACGAGTGTGTCCGTTCTTCGGTCTACGATTCGCAAAGACGGGAAAAGGCGCCGTTATTTCAGGCAATGATCTTCCAGAGAGAAAAGCTGCAATGCGGCCGTCAACTGCGCTCGACGGATGAATAATTCACAGGAACTTTTGATGTTTAAAGAATTTATGAAATAGAGGCAGAGCAATGTTTGTTTTGGGGCAGGACACGGCTAGGCAGGATGGAGGCAGCCAGGATCCTTCGATACAAACTCGAGTGCACGTATGCGTTGGATGGCAGGTTTGAGAATCACCTGAACCGAATCGAGGGTCTTCATTTTTAACCCTTTCGAGGACAGCGCTTACAACAGTGGACAGCTTATCATGTTATCAGGTTACAGGGTGCAGGAAAGGGTTAATACTTCATGAGCTTCTTTATATTTCGCCCCCAACAACATATGGACATTTTCAGCTTCGTCTGACTGAATTATTGATTATGGGTTTTTCCCTAGCAATGGGTCAAAATGTCTTATTAGACATGTAGACAAGTCCTTTTGTCTAAATGCATTAGCCTACTTCCTGTCAATGCTGGCTAAGTAATTAACGAGCTCAAGAGCGCTTTCGTTAAGCAAGTAGCTCCCCTTGAGGTCTTCCTCGCTTTGGGCTGCCTTTGCGGTCAGCCATAATTTGTTGTATGTAAACACACTAAATTTCGTTTGTCAGAGGCATCCCAGTGCAGACACTCTGAGGAGGGGGCAGGGGTGGGTACGCTTCAGATGATGTTCACTCGAGGACTCTTGCAATCGCTGTTGTTATAAAAGCATCTCAATGCTTCAAAGTATGCGCGTTGTTTTGAAAACCGTTAAGACGACGATTCTTCAGTATGCCGCACAATTTTGAACAAAGCCTCGGCCGTTAAGCTGGCATTATCTATCACGACAGCCATCTTGGTTGTTGTCAGGAGCTATAAAGGACTGGCACTTCCCGACCAGGATGAAAAAGGGAAACTGGGGTGTTTGGTGAGGGATGTTGGCAGTGGGTTCACACATTAAAAGCACCCAACTCAACCCAGGATAACCCCAGCTCAAGCAGCAACAGCAGCAGCCGCAACAGAAGCAGCATGAACATGCCGTTTCATTCGGAAAGTGCTACATTTAATAATTTCAAAGGAGAGACTTGACAACCAACAGCCCTCTTTATGCACGAGATACACACATATTTATATACGTTCATACAAAATCATCAGTCTACGTGCATCAAATAAGAATTGTCCCAATTTAGTCACGAATGCACTTACTCGGGGTGAAATTTGGGCTTGTTTAATTGAACACAAAACTGATATATTTGCTGAGAGCCAGGACTTACTCTGTTGGATGAATGGCAGCAGTATACACGTTGATTGTACCTTTTTCAATGGAATGGAAAAGCTTTTTTTTTCCTCTTTTTTTTTGCCTGTCAATATATGCTGCTGGCATAGATTGAAAAAGATATAGTTCTGATGAATTAAAAAAATGAAACATTTCATAATACAACATCAACAACAATACTAACAATTAAAAACAATGCTGTGAACATACAGTACTGTGCTTCCTGTGTTCATTCTATCACTTTTAACCTAACTTTATGAGACACAATTGATTCTCCTGAGAGGCAATGTATAACGAACCAAAAACCTTGACCACAGAATAAATAAATAAATAGATCAAGGCTCAAAACAAGCATTGCATTTTGTGAGTCATAATTCTCAGTTTGCGCCTCAATCAAACACACTGAAACGTAAAACTGCGAATGGGCGCCGATGAGTGGGAAACACTCGACACTCAATGCTAACTTGCTACACAGCTGTAACATGCCATGATTGTTCCAAATATTAAAAATAAATAAATAAATAAATAAATAAATAGCGGCATGGCTGGCACTTTGGTGGGCTTTAGGTTTCCCTCCGCTCGCTCCTTGTGGGACTTGTTAGGCAGGGAGGGAGCGCATAACTGATCAGGGAAAAGAGCCCCCACTTGTGTGATTACTGTACCTGTCTTTGTGCCAAATGACCACGACGTATGTGTTGATGGTTAATGTTGAGCAATTCACATTAGTTACTCGTAGCTACTCGCTGCCGTCTTCATCAATGGACAAGCTGCTCATCACACTTTGGCGACGTCAGCTGGCTTGTGATGTTACTGGCTCAGCGCAGGGCTGTAGCTAGTCATTTGGGGCTCAAGGTAAACACGGCCAAAATCCGCTCATCCACCCTGCACTTATGCTTCAATTTTGACAAAAACTAATTTGGGCTACATTGTTTTGCTTTTGAAATGAGTTATAATTAGCTGACAGCTAATAATATGCATAAGTAACAAGGCTTGGTGACTGACTGGTTAGCACATCCGCTTCATAGTTCTGTGGTCATAGGTTCAAATCCCGGCTCTGGCCTTCCTGTGTAGAGTTTGCATGCTATGCCCATTTCTCCGGGTTGTCTGATTCCCTCCCACATTCCAAAAGCATAAATGGTAGGTTAACTGAACACCCTAAATAACGTTGACATTTTGCAATAATTTTGTGACCCAGTTTACACTCACTTGAACAATAATTGAACAAATTATTATAATTGATTTGACTGATCTCAAAACTAGTAATCTATCAATTTGTTGTGGACAAGTAATAATTTTGTGGTTTCACTGTCATAACGGCCCTCCGAGAGGAGACGTAACTCCAAATTGGCCTGCGATTAAAATGAGTTTGTCACACCTGCCTTAAATTGTCCTTCAGTGTAAATGGTTATTTGTCTGTTGGTGCCCTGCTATTGGCTCATGACCAGTTTTGGGTGTACCACCGCCTCTCGCCCAGCGACAGCTGGAATCAGCTCCGGCACCCTCGTGACCGGCATGAGGATAAGCAGTTTGGGGAACGGATAAATGTTTCTTGTGAACTCAAATTGTGAATTTGACAAAATTCCCCTCTTCCCTGAATAGATAAATTCCATGAAATCATTCTTGAGGATTATTATGTAACAAGTGAATCACCTAAGCATGTTTACTGTAATTTGATGAGAACATTAATCAACATTAATAGTTTACCAATTCTAGTTTCCTCTCTCTGTGTCTGTTTTCATTTAAGTTTTAACATTTCCATAACTTCTGCTGGTCCCAAGACTATTTGTTTAATTGCTAGGTTAGCTGGTCTAAGCTCAAAAACACACAACCATGAACCTACTGTATTTTTATGTTACATGCTAAAATGCTAGCTGCTCAAATGAATCAGCGCAAAGCCTGTTCAAGCCTTTTTTATTGAATGACTTGTTTTATGATACCAAAAATGTAAAATTTCAGTTCAAATTTATATTTGTTTGACAGTGCCACACTGAAAACGTTTCTTGTTGCTGTTATGTACAAAGTGAATTTATGAAATAAAAGATGTTGATTATTAAAACAAAAAAGAAACCAATTGGTTGTTTATTAGTAAAAATATAATTTATCCAAATACATGATTATGTTCACTTTTTAACAGGATGCTAGAATACTGAAATAATTGATAGCTCTCGCCCGACATCGAACCGTTTTTAATGAAGTCATTCATGAGCAAAATTGTTCCGCAAAGAAAAGAGGTTGTTTCAAGCCTGCATATTGTACAAAGGATATACAGTGTGTATATATACACAAATATCCATCCATCCATTTTCTAATCTGCTTATCCTCACGAGGGTCGCGGGCGTGCTGAAGCCTAACCCAGCTGTCTGTGGGCGGTAGATGGGCGACAACCTGAACTGGTTGCCAGCCAATCACAGGGTACACAACCATTGCACTCACAATCACACCGAGGCACAATTTAGAGTGTTCCATTCACCTGCCACCCATGTTTTTGGAAAGTGGGAGGAAACCGAAGTACCCTGAGAAAACTCATGCAGGCAGGGGGAGGACATGCAAACTCCACACAGGGAGGCCGGGGCCGGAATCGAACCCTGGACCTCTGCACTGTGAGGCCGACGTACTAACTAGTCGACCACAGGAACACACACACACACACACACAC